GCGCACGTGGTGGCTACGTATTGAATGACGCACGTCACAATATAAGACCCAAATGAAAGTGAGGCCATCTTCACTGCTACCCCCTCCTGTGATGCTTTTTTCAATTAAGGCCTTTTACTTACTCACAGAGACATCTATATGCTTATTTTTAATGTAAAGAATTCTCTATTTTTTAAATTCACTTTCTAATGGAAATATTTTATTGGAAAAAAATAAAATAGCAACTTTTTTTGTATCAATAATTTTCTAATTCAATTAAAATGAAATAAATCGTATTCATAGCACTCTAACCTAAAAATTGTAATTTTTCCGCTAGTTTTAGGTTCTTGTGCTGTAAAATATTGTATGCACAAGCTATTATTGTAGTCAGATTGAATTAAAATTACATAATTGAAATTTTACTACGCAATTTTATAATAATTTTACAATTGAAGTTTAAATTTTTAAAATTAGTTTTTTTGTTTATAATAGATTCTTGATTTATTTGTAAGTTTGAGCAGTGAACTATATAATTTTTATTTTTATATAAAAAGCATTAATAATTATATAACTATGAATAAAATCTAACTAATAACTATGAATAATAACTATGAATTTTTCTTTCATTGCCTTTTCAGATATGTAAGTTTTTCAAAAGCACATTTGCTTATCGTAATATTCAAATTATTCATGCTACAGCACTCAGGTGATTATAACTGCAATCTAGAGTGAAATGATAATAAAATCCACTCGAAGCGCCGGAAAACGCAAGAGTCGAAAAATTTTATATGCGAAATACACAAAAAAACTCTCATGGGAAATGCTGTATCTCAGTGAGAATTAAAAATTTTGAAATTTAACGAAATGCAATGGAAAGAGGGAGAAAACTCATACTCAACAATTTATAGTGATGAAAAATTCTAAGTTGAGACTTGAACGATTACTTCCAGCAACTCTGTTTAAATCGATAAGAATTACTGAATAAAATAAGAAGGTTGTTCAATGAGAGCCGAATTTAATTCATTCTAAACGCGACGATTATTTCAATTTGTCTAAAGGAAAAATAGTTCAAAACTATATTAGAATTAGCAGGGCAACAACTCTTACTCTTTTACTACTGTCAAGGGCAAGCAGATACGAATACCCACTGCCCGCGCGCATAGACAGCTGACGCGTCAAACTACGTATGCGCCGGCTGCTCGCGATATATATTACAACGTTCACGAAAGACTGGCAACATTTGGGTTAGTCGGGAGAGATGACGACTCTCTGCCCGCCTGTCTCTAGGACTCTTGGGGTAGAAAATATACGTATCCCGATCATGCATTATGTATTTGGCTGCTCTTTCCGTGAACTGCTACTCCTAAACAAGAGCGTCAGCTTGTTGAAAAAAAAAAGAAAAAAAAATCCGTGACCGCGCGGTGTACAAAGAAGAGAGATCGAATAGGCAAGAAAAATTAATTATTATTCTCCAACACGTGTGCTAGTGCTCCAGGCATACAAACATAAGTCAAATTCGAAAGTTTTGGTGAAAAAAAGTGTGTCTTCGTAATATTATGCAGCAGGATAATGCTGCATTCAATGCATAAGATATTCAAAAACTCCATTCGAGCGTCGCGGCTTCGCAGTTCTTCGATACTCAGCGCCAGCTAATAATTCAAACACTTTGAGTGCTCACCCCCCCTGTGTGTACGTTGAATGAAAGATAGACAACAATATAAATATAAATAAAACTTGGTTCATTGAATGTTGACTGTAGGTGAAATTGCCACTTGAACGGCATATGCCGGCTTAAGCTTAATATCGCTTCGCTCGCATATATAGGAGCGTATATATATATTTCAAAAGCTTCGCAATTCTTTTTTACTTCTATCTTTCGCTCGATTTTTTTTTTTCGCTCGTCCTTTTTATATTTTTTCATACCATCAAAATTTAAATTGCAATTATAGAATTTGCTAAAAGATAATGCACTAAAGGAATTTTTTTAACAAATAAAAGTATTGAACTCCGTATTATATATTGACATAATAACTAAAAAATATTCTAGCGAGGGATCAAATGAAAAAGGCCATTATATCTAGCTGCAAGAATGCGCGCGCGCTTTTTCACGGTAAACAAATAAAAATGATCATGATCATCGGCATATTTTTCCATATAATGAGAAGAAAAATGCATCGTTCCCCGGTGATATTGCAAAGCTTCGAAAAAAAGAAGAAGAAGCAAGCAAGCTGAGATTATATTGGGCCGATGTACTCTCGTCCCTAATAAAAGTAAAAGAGTCAGGTCGAAGGTAAAAAGCGAGTCGAGGAAGAAAAGAAAGGAGGATACCTCTTTAATTTTTTTCCTCTTTCTCTCTCTTTCGTTTCTATATCCGGGTTATGAGACTCGGCCTCATCTTTATTTAGTTTTTTTTTTCTTCCTCCTCGCCACTTGCACGCACAACGACGACGACGACGACGAATCCCCGTCGTTCGCCATTTTTCCTTGGCTTTTCACGCTCTACGTATATATACACACGTACACATACATAGGCTACCGTCTTGGCGCCTTTCTTCTGTGTCTCTGCTCTTTTCTCTCCCTCCGTGTTCACGAGCCAATATCTTGGCGTGCGCGTGCACAGCAGCAGCAGCTATCTCTCTCTCTCTCTTTACTGTGTACAAGTGTGCGCGCATTCACGCGTGATATATAGATATATACAATAATATACAAGCGGCACATTCACAGAGAGTGAGATAGATACCTAAGCGGAAGGTTTTTCCACCCCTATATACATACTTTGAGCTGAACAGCAGCAGCGACGAGAGAGAGAGAGAGAGATAGCGTTTAGCTGCTGCTGCCACGCGGAGGGGGTAGTTTTATTAAAACTCCCGTCAATAGGGGGTAAGGAACTGCGTTCTCTCTCTCTCTCTCTGCGCGCTATGCTGCTTCGTACACGTACACACACACACAGACACAGGTGGTATTCGAGCAGCCAAAAGGGGGAAACAGAGAGAGAGAGGAGAGTGATACTATACGCTATGAACGGCTTTAATGCACACTCACGCGCGCCCTCGCGCATACACACGTACACAGCAGCAGAGGACGTAAATATGTACGTACATAGATATAGCTTTTATATTTAAAAGATAGAAGCATCGCACTGTGTATAGCGGCGCAATGCCGTTCGATCTCGTGCCAACCCTGCTAAACGTATAATATAGGGCTCTCTCTCTCTCTCTGTCTGTCTAACTGTGAAACTCAAAGGGCTCTCGGTATACGAAGCTCTCCTCTCTCTCACTCTGCGAATGTATACAAGCCTTTATGTATAATGCTTGATACTATACATAACTGGAGCGCGTGGTCAAACTCGCGAAAGCACAAAGAAAATGGAGAGCTGCAAGTGTGTGGATATTTGAGCTTTGGAGGTCAGAGCTTACATTGTATGTATTATTATTTTCATCGAGCTCGTTTCGCTCTCAATTGACACGTTATTGTATGCAACGACAAGTGTCGTTTTCTGTTCAGCACGAAAAGATCCTCTCCAAATTCGCTTATCAAAATTGTAAAAAGTGAGCAGTTGCCGTTTCCGAATCAAATCGATCGAGTGTATATCGATAGAGTAAAAACATAGCGTAAAAAAAGATGATAAATAACGTTCTTCGAATGGTCAAAGCTCGAAGGGCCAATTGTCAGTGAGATATCCTATGTATGGTGACTGATTGAAAAAAAAAATCACCGATACAGGAAGATAAAAAAGCAAACGCGAAAAGTCTTATCGAATTGATACTTTATCGTTCGTTCGATATTAGAAACTGACCGATTAAAACGACCCTGTTCGTCGTTTTATTTTTACTTTTTGCGAATTGTCGAGTATCGAAATACGGGGCGTTTCGAGGGTGAATTGCGACAGTCGATAGCTTGTAATATCTATAAGTTACTTGGTCAAATCAATGATAAACATAATTCAAACGGAAAAGGATTCGTTTGTTAATGGCACTCAGAAAATATTTAAATTAAATAGATACGCATTGCACTATATGCAAGGCCTTATATATGTAAAACAGCGTGTACACTTACAGAGCAGGCAATTGTAGCTATGTATCTGCAATACGAAATCGCAGCGTCACAGGATCCAGCAGCGCACGGGCCCCGACAGTTCGGATTTAATAACAAAAGCTCGGCGGGTGTAAGCTTCTACTGCTGCTACTATGCTCGCATGCGATAATACACATGACAATCTAAGATGTGTGTATGTGTCTGTGTGTCTGTGTGTGTGCGCGCGTGGGCCGATCGACGCCCGCCAAGATCAGCGCGTTAATCCTTGCTCCCCGCGTATTATAATACGCGCGTCTCTGCCTTTTATAATAATCCCTTAAACGTCGTCTGGGGAGGCTATGATGCGTATAATATGAAGGTGGGCCATTATTCGAGCTTCGCTATACTGTCGAAGAATGCAAAGATTTGCTTGTAGATATGTTGCGTCTCGTGCATATATGCACCGTTCCGAAACTTTCCAAGACGTATCCTCGGTATACGGTTCGTTTGTGGTTATATGCAATAAGTACACACAACTTTTGACGAGGCAATCTACATAATTCGAAACGATCGGGAAAGTAATAAGGACGAAAATTCGTCCGACTTTTTGCATACAACGCGCAAATAAGAACTATGCATACGGGCTTTTTGTTTACAATTTTATACGGCATATATAAATTTACGCTCGAGTACTTACTTTTTGAGCTTTCTCGAGGAATTAAATCTTGGACAGAGGACCTTCGAATCAGTGTTATTCAACTTTTAATTTACTTATATAACCAATCGATTCCTAGTGTATTAGCTGTAGTTTTGTACTTGTGTAACTTATCCTGCGGTAACGCAAGCTTCAACTGGTAAATAACGGACTAAAGTAGATGTCGCCACACACTGGACATCTCCTGCAAAATTCGCGAGCCGGCAGCCGCGGGGCGTAGCGTAGCGTTTATATATGTGCTATGTATAGTAATAGTAACTACACGCACACTGTTATATATTTCGCAAAAATAACGACCTGCTCGTATTCGAACACGTCGTTAATCATTCTCCTTCGTTACATTTTGTGCATGTCGTAAATGAGTGCAAAAGTCGTCGTTATTTTCTAAATCGGCCTTGTTTTATTACACACTCCGTTACACGATACATCGCGATAATATTTGAGCGACTCCAAACACGCGATTGGCGCGCCGCCATTCCGCACATGCCCCCGCCGTGTGTGGTTTGTTGTCGATTTCCAGCGTTTGAATTCTGCAGTGGCAGAATGTCCGTTACGACGAACGCCGTGCATGCACACAAACATTGATTGTCGGAAGCGCATCCTCGAAACACGATGTTAGTGCCGTTCAAGTGAAATTGTTTATTGTGCTTTCATTAATTTTAATCGTGGTGATTCACGTTCGACTAATTTCAATGTACTGCGTGACAATTTTATGTCACGATTTAAGCTTTTTTAAGTGTTACAATTAACCTGTGAAATGTCAACTTTGTTTACTAATTGTTTTGAATTTTTTTTGTAGGGATTCCTCGAAACCACAAAATGTTTCAAGACAATCTTCGGTAAAATATTATTATATTAGTGTTAACATGATATTAGGTTTATTCGATTGAAAATATTTATCAAAAAAAAAATAATAATTTTTAGATACTGAAGCTACCCAAACAACGACAGCCTTTGCAATGTGTTACCTCCGATCCTTCTACTTTGGATGATGGACCTACTGCTAAAATTAAAAGAAGGGTTAGTTTTGCAAGAAATAGACGTATCAAGTGAGTTTTAAACATTAACAATCTAAAGTTTTTTTCCTTAAATTCCATTAAACTTTGACTTGCTAATTCAATTTATTTTTTCTTATGATCTTAACTTGCTTTAAATTTAAATAAACCATTCTTTTAGTAATTTATTTAACAGAATATAAATAATATTTCTATTATTAATTTCAAGGGAATTTTGCAACGAGACTGAACAGGAAACAGTATGGGATAACACATATGAAGAGCATGATTTAAGTAGCACAAAAAGTAGTACTAACAGTACACATGATCAGCCATTGATCATTACTGTTCCTTGTTATGACAAAGAAAATTTTCCTGTTCAATTATTCTTGCCTACTAACGAAATTAATTGCACTGAGCTTCAATCAAATATTACTGAAGAACAAAATTATCCTTCACAATGTAATACAGCAATGGAAGATACATCTGATATCGAGTGTGAAAAACTCGATAATGACCATGAATTGTCGGATGCAACTATTTACTGCAATGATGGTATGGAACTAACAACTATAGTTCTACCTAATGAAGACTCTTGTTTGAATAATGGAAACAAAGAAGAAAACTTTGAAACTTCAAAAAATCTAGTTTTTCCTTCAAATATAAATCTGAAGCATGACATGCAATTAGATATAAGTAAAATCAACACATATTCTGTGGCAACTACAGATTTATTAAGACCTACGATTCATTCAAACAATAATTCAAAAAAAAGAACAGAAAATATTTTTGATAATATTGAGAAGGATATAACTGAAACCCTTCCTATATCAAGATCTGAATTATGCCTTTTACAAAAAGAGCAGGTTGATAGAAGAGAAATTTATACAAATGTATCAATGGAAATGACAGAGGCTGTGCAGTGTAAAAGAGATTACAATCTCAGTGAAGTACCATCTTCAAATGCAGTGATAAAAGATAAAATGAATGTATATTGTGACATGTCAATGGAAATGACGGAAGCTGTTTTGAAACCTATTCATCAAAAGTCAATACAACCCTCATTTATTCCAAAATTGATCAATAAATCAATAGAACCTAGAAATGTTCATCATGATCCAGCAATTGAATCAACAGAACAAACTAAAATCTTTAATAATTCAAAAATGGACATTACTGAAACGGTTCCTATATCAAGAACTTTACAGCACCCTTTATTAAATGTGCCACCAGATGGAAATAAAATGACTACTAATACATCAATGGAATTGACAGAAGGTGTACAAAGTATAAGAGATGTTAAACTCTCTCAAGTACCAGCTTCAACCTCAGTCCTACGAGATAAGTTGAATAAATACTGTGACTCATCAATGGAAATGACTGAAGCTGTTTCCAAAACATCTCATCGAAATTTGGTTCCATCCTTGTCCATGCAAAAATTAATTAATAAATCAATGGAACTAACAGAAGTAGTGCCTTCCAGTAATCTCAATTATATTGCTGTAAATAGTGTCATGGAAAAAACAAAAATCTTCAATAATTCTAATATGGAAATTACTGAAACGGTTCCTGTATCAAGAAATCAATTTGCACAAATGATATCGAAAGATAAAACAAATATTTATGAAAACCAATCAATGGAAATAACAGAAGCTGTGCCAAAAAGGAGCGAGTACAATCCTTCTCATAGACTAAATTCAAAATCAGTTGCACAAGATAAATTGAATGTATATTGTGACACATCAATGGAAATGACTGAGGCTGTATCAAAGCCAACACGTCAAAACTTAGTTTCCTCCTCATACGTGCCAAAATTGATTAATAAATCAATGGAACTCACAGAAGTAGTGTCTTGTAGTAAAATGAACCATAACACAATAAGTACAGCAACTGAAAAGACCAAAATCTTCAATAATTCTAATATGGATATAACTGAAACAGTTCCTGTATCAAAAAGTCAATTTCACCCCTCACAAATAATTTCAAAAGATCAAACAAAAATTTATGAAAATGTATCAATGGAAATAACAGAAGCAGTGCAAAAAAGAATTGATAACAATGGCTCTCAAGGAATCTCTTCAAAATCAGTTGCACAAGATAAATTAAATATATATTGTGACACATCAATGGAAATGACTGAAGCTGTTTCAAAATCATCTCATCAAAATTTGCTTTCATCTTTGAACATGCCAAAATTGATCAATAAATCAATGGAACTAACAGAAGTAGTGCCTTCCAGTAATCTCAATCATATTGCGATAAGTAGTGTAACAGATAAAACCAAAATCTTCAATAATTCTAACATGAATATTACTGAAACAGTTCCTGTATCAAGAAATCAATTTACACAAATAACATTGAAAGATAAAACAAATATTTACGAAAACCAATCAATGGAAATAACAGAAGCTGTGCCAAAAAGGAGCGAGTACAATCCTTCTTATAGACTAAATTCAAAATCAGTTGCACAAGATATGTTGAATGTATATTGTGACACATCAATGGAAATGACTGAGGCTGTATCAAAGCCAACACGTCAAAACTTAGTTTCCTCCTCATACGTGCCAAAATTGATTAATAAATCAATGGAACTCACAGAAATAGTGCCTTCTAATAATCTAAATCATAATGCAATTTCTTCTAAAAACATCAATCATGGAATCCCTGTTCAAATTACAAATAATACCAAGATCTTTAATGATACTGAAATGAATGTTACAGAAACTGAACCAATAACCAGAATTAAAAATCAATCGTTAAAAGAAGTTCAACCAGTCACTATAGGAAGTTATGAAAATCTATTTGAAAAGCATTGTTTTGATAAAGTAGGGAATAATTTGATTATTAATAAATCAATTAGGAATGATGTAAAAACAGACACAGACATTGAAAAAACTGTGTCAAAGGATTTAAGTTTGGATCAAATCAAGTCTAACAGCGATGAAATCTTGTCAAGTGATAGATCTAATCCTAGCTCAAAACTGATGATATCTGGCCTCAATACTCTGGATAAATCAAATAGTCAATTTTACAAAATATCTAGCTCCACAAAAGTATATCATGATGACTCCATGGAAATGACTAATGTGATACTTGATCAAAAAACTCTCAATGCTTCTAATTTATCAAGATTAGCTTTTGATACTAAACACAACAAAACAAACTTAGATGAAGAAAGGTGTAACTCAGATCAAAAAGAAAAATCTTTTCAATCAATGTATGATCCACCTAAAAGTGGCGAAGAAGATTCTCTGGAATATTCTGAGTTGCCTACAGTTTTGACAAATTTTACTAAAAGTTCGTTTCAAGCCAACTCATTTCAAAGGATTACATCTGATGAATTACACACTTTATGTGCTTCTTTAAATTTGCCCACACAGAAATATAATCGTGAGGAAAATATTGCTTCTCAAAACAACTTCTTTGAAGTTTGTAATGATGTAAATATTTTACGAAATTCGCTCAGAAATAATACATTATTCAAATCTCAGAGAGATATGATAGAGAGTCTTGGCATCTCTAAAAATGAAGAAATTTTATCCACCGAACCTAGTAACCTGGATAAATCGATTAATTCTAGATCCATCCGCAACATGGATAGTGAAGAACAACATTTAACAAGTCTTCAAAGAACTAATCTTGTGACAAATATGAGTTTGTCCGAAGTTATTGTTAATCCTGCACTAAAATCAAGTGTATTTCGAGATGATTGTGATATAAGCATTACAAAAACAAACCTTATAGGACAACCATTGATTTCTGCAACAGATCTACAAGAAACTGAAGTAATAAACAATGGCTCAACACTCCAACAAACATCTTCAGGATTAACCGATGTTTTTCAAGCTTGTGTGAAGCTTAACAAAAAATCTATTCTTAAAGAAAATGTGACAATTCCTTCTGGAACAAGTTTGAATGATTCCGTTAATAACAAAACCATACAAAATATTCAAAAAATCTATGATGAAAATGAATATCAAAATACTTCTCATTCTACTCAATCTACATCAAGTGCCAAACGAAAATATTGTGATAACACTGATGAATTAGATAAAAGTAATAAGAGATGTAACTATGAAAATTCATCCTCTACTGAAAAATCTCAACAAGATTTTAAAAAAGACAAATCTTGTGAACTATCATTAGAAAAAAGTCAAAATAAAACATTATCTAATATCATGGACATATCAGTAACAGGTACAAGTTTTACAAATTGTACATTTCATCCTGAAAAATCGAATGATAATGCAATCGAAAAAAGGTCTGAAAAGTCATTTTCTAATAAAACATTATTCAGTGAAATAGAAAATGTTGTACTTCCTTCATTGGAGGATGAAACTCAAGTAATCCCAAATAGCCACGAAAACGAAAATTTGAATAATTCATCTTTGAAAAACATCGAAATCAATGCATGTCCAACTGTTGATCCAAAAATTCCAAAAATTGTAATAGAAGATACCTCAGCCATGAAAGAAAATTTACCAAAAATTGGGAAAATGAGTCAACTTGAACATAATGTGGAAAACAAAGAGAACAAGAAAATAAATATTAGTGACTCAAGTTTGCAATTAAATCTACATACAGAACCATATTTTCAAGATTTAGAAGATATAGAACCACCTTCATTTTTAAATTGTAATGATAGCACCCAAGAAGATCATTCTAATCGAAACGATGTGTCATTGACTAAGAATAATGAAACATTCAGCAACAAAATTATATCACCAACGTCAACAAAAATTGAAAATCATGAAACATCCTTAGAAGAAAGTAATGTTGACACAACTGATGAAAAAATTGTTTCTCCTGCTATGCAACTGATGAATAATATTTCTGAACAGGCAAAAAGGTATATTCATAAAAATATTTTAATATGTATAATAATGATTTATAAAAAATAAAATTATAATTTCAGGGATGATTGTATTTGGTCAGTTTGTAAAATGGATCCACATGCTATTATTATTTATTTTTTATCAAAATCAATGGTTGTCACTCTGCTTTTACATAGTGATCTTGAAAATTATTCTGAAGATATTAAAAATATTACTTTTAAATCCAGACTTAAAGGTGAAACTTATTTTATAAAAAAATATATAATCTATTATAATTTTAATCTTATTGTTTGTTATTGTCTTTTTTCTTATAGAAAACTCGAGGAATAATTCATTAAAAATTGCGCATAAATTGTTATTGAAAAAATTTGAATCTGATGATTTATTGGATAAGTTTAAGTTGTATGATGATGTGTTACCTCTATTAGACTATGTAGCCAATGAAGTTATTTTTGTCATGGATTTTATATTTGATCTTGAAAAATTAAATTCTTTGTATTTAATGAAAATAGAAATTGAAAGGTAAATAGAATTCAATCTAAATAATTCAGCCTAATTATAGATTTGACAATTAATTTTCTTACTCAATTCAAATAACTAATTCCATATTTTTAGGATATCATTTAAGGTTGCATCGAATAAAACTAGTATTATACTAGACATATCTATTCCAACAAAACAAATAAATAGAATAAATGCAGAAGATGTTCAAGTTAAATGTATTCTTGGGAATATCAAGTACAATTTTTTCACCTATTTAAATGAATTTTTTCATCTTTGATTTAACTTAATTTTTATACTTTTTCTTTCAGAATAAAAGATATTAAAAGAATTATTGAGAATACCAAAAGAGATTACAAATTTTTAAGCAGATACATAGAATTTGTTCAAGAGTATATAACATTGATAGAGGATTCTTCTACATCATCTAGGAAGTTTTAAAAAAAATTCACTGTATAAAAATAAGTATTGTACATTTTTATTATAAATATGATCTCTGTAAGAGCGATATATGTTCATTATCTAAAAGATAATGTTGTAAATAAGAGTATATATAGTAAATATGCAATAAATTACACTTATAATAACTGTGTAATATAGATAAAATTATAAAAATATATACAAACAATATTATTGTAAAAATGAATTTCAATATTTTTCAAATTTGTTTTTTTTGAATCATGTAATAAGTAAAAATGAGAATTATATTATTTTTTCAAATATTTTTAATTGCTTGTGCATAAAATGATTGGCCCTTAGACATTTATTTTTAATGAGATGAATTTTAGATTTTTTTATTTAAGATTATTTGAATTGTAATAGTAATTATATTATGGTTAATTCCAAAAATCACAATTACAAAAATTGACAGTATTTTCAACAATTACTTTATTCTTACAATAATTTACAAAATTTTCATTGAATAAAAACAAAACTATCCATAATTTAAATCATTCATGTACTTTTACTTGTTTCAGCTGTTAGTTTTATTGATTCAAGGACTCCTCGTAACTCTAACAATGATTTAGCTATTAATATTTCTTCTTCTATTCTCTTAATCATTGTTTTAAACATAGATCTTGATTCTAAGCTGTTTTCTTCAATTCTTTCTTCTACAACATCCAGTAAAATGTCAAGGCAATGCTGCAACACTCTTCCAAATTTCATATTTGTGAAGTGTCTGAGACAAAATTTCACTATATTATTTAAATTTCGTACATCACGACCAATCAATGCTTGTCTTAATCCATTTCTCCTGATTAAATTACGAATTAAGGCAACACTAACATGTGGATATCTATTGACAGTATAAGTTTGCATAACCACATCTAATGCCTTGGAATATTGAAACTTTCTTAAGAATTGGTCATACTTAGCAAGAATTTCTTTTTCTGTGTTGACAATTTTCTCACTTACTGGAACTGCTGGAGTTTTGATATTGTTTTCCTTTTCAGGAATTACAGATGCACTTACATCATTTTCTGCTATCTTTTGTTCTTTGATAGAAATCATTCCATCTACCATACCAACAACTAACATTTTATCATCTTGACTGATAGCTAAGCTTGTGATGGAGTTTGAATATTCTACAGAATGATTAGTTTTGAATGATGCAGCATCGTGCATTTTAACGTGTCTGTCTAATGATCCTGATAATATCTTGTGACCACTAGATGATAATGCAATAGATGTCACAGTTTTATTATGTTGTGTAATTCTTGATAACACTTTTCCTTTTGATAGACAATCATATAATCTTATTTCAGTTCCACCTGCAGATAAAAATGAGCCTCCAGTTGGTGTAAATACAATACTTTCCACTGCTGCATCATGACTAACGCTAAACACTTTCTTTTCAACTCGTGTATCATACATGTTTATTATTTTGTCGTATCCTCCAGATACAAAAATATGAGGAGAAATTGGACTCACAGCACCAGCTCTGATATAATCACTGTGATCTTGATCAAATGTCATGATTTTTGTTGCCGTACTTATGTCCCACAAAATCGAACTTTTGTCGTCGCAAAATGAAATAATGCGCAAACCGTCCATGGTGAAAAATGTTCTGTGCACTGGTGCTGTATGTCCTTCGAATATTCTGAGGGAATTTTTCGTGAAAATGTCAAAAAGTTTGACAGTGCTTTCTTCACTTCCAACGCAGATAAGCCGTCCATCCTTGCGAAAAGATCCTCCATAGACATTGCTCTTGAATTTATTTAATTTCTGACTCACCAACTTAGTGACAGGGTTGAAAATTTGCACACAAGTCGACGATGTGACCGCAAAATAATGCGGTTCAACTGGTGATACTGAGATGTAGTCGATGGGTCCTGTTTCTTTAATCAACGTCGTTGATTTAAAATTTTTTATGTAACTTACATCTTGTAAAGCTTCTGGCACTGGTTTCTGGAATGACCTGGCATTGGTCCTCTTGAATTCAATCATTTTGGTATGATGTGGCCTCAATGAATGTATTTATGTGAAATATAAAAATGTATATAACAAATTATGTCGTTATGTACGGTTAACACCATGTGCGTTTACCGGCGCGCGTAGTGTATAAGTGTCTGATTCTGTGGACCATGTGAGGGTTATGTCCGAGCAGAACAGACTGTGAGTTTTAAACTTTTGTAACGCTGACTTACCATAGGACGGGGACCTCTATATATGAATGTGTATATAGGCGCGCACAACATGAATGACTTGAACTGTCACACAGGTTTATCGTAAAAAATCTTGTCAATAGAATATAATTGAGTAGTTAATGAAAACTCATGCTAATGTCGTTTTTTAAATAAATTAGTCAACTCTTTACCAATCAACATGTAAGAAAATTTTTACATGTGTATCTAAGCAAAAAAACCAAGCAATCCTTGTAAAGGAATTAATCAGGTAAAAACCTTATGATTAAATTTTACTATTTTTCAAATTGTATTGTAAAAATTGATACAACTAATATGTTGAGTAGAAACTTTTCTTCGTGATTATTGGAATAAAATTATGAATTTTGAAAAATAGTTAAAAAGAATATTCGAGTTGGATACTTTATCTGAAAAAAGAAGCAATAATTCTAAAATGCAAGTAGAGTAGAAGAGCATGGAGAAAATAATGATGAAATCAAAATATTTTGTTTTATAAAAAATATACTAACATTTATTAATGTTTATTGATTGAATAATTAGTATTTACAATGCTGTTTACATTTTTGTGAAACCATTAATTTTCAAATTATTTTATATATTTATCTATCTATGATATTATTTTTGAATACATCTTTCTACCATTATTTTTTTGACAATCTTACAGAGCCATTTTGCGTCCTTCAATAGATATCTCAACAGCTCTCCTGGAGGATCTCATTCTTCTGTTTTCAATAAAATTTTTCATATGTTTTTCAAAACGATTGGGTGGTGGTTTAACAGTTCTACTAATATCGATATCTGATTTCCACTCTGGTCTGACAACATAGTCTTTAGATGAAGGCATAGGCACTCGAGCTCGTGAAACCCATCCAGGATCACCTGGCCTCAATGGCTTTGATTCTTCTTTCAGAGCTCTGTTTATGTCTTTTGATCTGAATGATGTTGAATCATCCTTGGTCTTGCGCTTTTTAGTTGGAATTTGCTCCATATCTCTGTGCATCCTTTCTTCTTTGGTCATAGCTTTGAAATCAGTAGACAAATTGAAAATTGGTCTTGCCCATTCGTTGATCAATTTTCCAGCTCTAGTTTTATTCTCCTTTGTTTCCTTAGGATGCTTATACAAATACATAACTGCTTTACCAATTCCAGACTGTTTCAGTGAAGATTGGTCAATTCTTGGAAACTCATGCAGTAATTTCAAAATTGAGTCTCTTATTCTTAAAGATGTCAATGATTTATCAGGCATAGGTGCTAACCAATCTGTGAGCACTGACAAAACATTATGTTCTAAAAATGCCAATTGTAAATCTTGTTTTTTTAACTGCGACATGACTTTTGACAACATGGCAATTTTGTATGTGGCTGGCTTACCCAGCTCATTGAGCTTTCTGTCTTCCATATAAGCATTCCTCATATCAGCTAATAACTGTGCTATAATATCATCATTGTCATTGATGATATCAATGTCTTTACGCTTTCTACGCCTTTTCAATTCTTTCTTTTGTTGAAGCATACGATCAAAGTCGCTCATGTTATCATCATATCCTGCAGATCTTTGTTGGATTTCATCTTCAGAGTCGCTACCTTGAGCGGCAGCTGCCTCATGTGGTTGCTTGTCAGAAGGACCAGCTTCATTATCTTCATCGGCCAAATCTTCAATTTTTCGCTTTTTCAATGACGCTGAGCTAGAGTTACTTGCTGATCGAGCACGAGATCCAGACCTTGATCGAGACCGACGTTTAGGTGATGAATCTTTAAGAGAAGACTTGGAGCTTGCAACTGAGGCAGACCGAGCACTGGACCTTGATCTGGACCTAGAACGAGATCTCGACGGCGAAAGAACTTTCCGTTTCGTGGAACGTCTTCCTGGGGATGATCTCGCACTTGATCGTGAACTTGATCTTGACCTCGAACGAGATCGAGATAAACGTTGAGCTTTTCGCTTTGATGGGCGTCCAACAATGGACGATTTTGAACTGGAGTGTGACCGAGACCTAGCGGATGATCTTGATCGTGATCTGGATTTTGATCGGGATCTGGATTTTGATCTTGACCTAGATTTTGAACGTGAAGCAGATCTAACAGATGACTTTGATCGGGATCTCGACTTTGAGCGAGAACGTGATGCCCGTCTAGATGGGCTTACTGACCTTGACTTTGAGCGTGAACCTGATCTGGCGGATGATCTTGATCGAGACCTCGACTTTGAGCGAGATCGAGATGATCGCTTCGATGGGCTTACCGACCTCGACTTTGAACGTGAAGCAGATCTAGCGGACGACCTTGATCGGGACCTCGACTTTGAGCGAGAACGAGATGATCGTTTTGATGGACTGACTGATCTAGACTTGGAGCGTGAAGCAGATCTAGCGGATGATTTTGAACGAGATCTCGATTTTGAGCGAGAACGAGACACACGTTGAGATGGGCTCACTGACCTCGACTTTGACCGTGAAACAGATTTGGCAGATGACTTTGATCTTGATCTTGACTTCGAACGAGAACGAGATGTACGTCCAGCAGGACTTGCTGACCTTGATTTTGATCGTGAAGCAGATCTAACAGATGACTTTGATCTGGATCTTGACTTTGAGCGAGAGCGAGATGATCGTTTTGATGGACTGACTGATCTAGATTTTGACCGTGAACCAGATCTAGCAGATGATTTTGATCTTGATCTTGATTTTGAACGAGAGCGAGATGCACGTCCAGATGGGCTTACCGACTTCGACTTGGAGCGAGAACGAGATGATCGCTTCGAAGGGCTTACTGACCTCGACTTGGGGTGGTCAGATGCAGCATCCTCAGGAGTCGCTGAACGAGATCTAGCCGGTGTAGACATTTTGGAAGTTGGTGAATTCACAGTGAACTTGTCTTCAGCTACTTTGTCCGCGGAACTTTCAATGAGACTTTTGTCCAGCACTTCACTTTGATCCTCAATTTTGTTTGTTGCTTCAATTTCCGACATTTTGAGGTTAAAAAATTTAACGTAAAATTTTCGAGGCACTTATGGCACACACTTTACTGGCAAAACAGCTGCAACAATGAAGCACTTCGTCAGAACAAAAGTGTCGAACGGGTTTTCTGCTCGATTGACGATATATATCAAAAATGTTTATCTTTACTTTCACAACAAACAAGTAAGTAAGGCAGTACACAAGCGATCGTATGCTTATACAAGTGCACAGCCTGACTGACGCGTTGTGTCTGTGTGGGTGCCATGATATGCCAAATTGCCAAGCCAAGCAGACTGTATACCGTTGTAGATCTCTGGAAGTCTCAACAATTATTGTAATTTTAAAAATAATACTATTTGTTGCAAATTTATTGAAATTTTATTTACATTTTTAAATTTTTATTGTACTGTATATGACACTTTTTTTGATAATCTAATAAATGATAAATATTAAAAATAAAATGTTTATCAATGAGTGCATTTGAATACTGAAAAAAACTTGATAACTGCACCTGTTTAATTAAAGAGAAATAACGTAAAATATGCGTGATGACAAATGCGTTGAAGAACGACAAGAATAATTGTCGTTCAACAATTTGGGCATTATGAAAAATTCATTTTTATTGTTGGGGGAACACAAAGAATACAGTATATTATCCTCAGTAATAATTAAAAATTATGACGGAAAAAAATTCGAGTTCCTCTCCGAAAATAAATGTTTACCTCAAAAAATTATTCTTAGGTTCGTATATTTAGATCTTTTTTTATTTATAACGTCTATCGAATAAAAAATTACTAGAAAAAACAACGATCTTGCGTCTCATGATAACTGATTAATTAAAAATTAATTTTTATAGGCATTTATATTGGTCGTTAATTTGGCAAGTTGGATAATTTATAAAACATTTTTGTAATCTATACAAATATTTTTAAAGTTGTAATTTTTTGTCGCGTTTTTACATTTAAACGGCGAAATGCATTTGAAAACCGCTCAACTCATCCCAAAGATGGCGCGTTTGTTGAGCCGCTTGCGCAGTGCGCCGTCATTTCAATGCGCCTGTGCGCGAAAACTCCGATTTTAGAAGTGTTGAGTCTGCAAGCAGCCGACACTCGACATTCGTCAGTTAGATTGACTCGCGCATCAGAAGAGTTCAGACTTTTTCATAAAAGTAATAGGAAGATTTCAGCTAAAACCACGTGCTCGTTAGACATTACGTTTATTGAATTATTGAATGATCGTAATATCAACATTTAGTGCAGTATCAATCTAAAAGCGCACTCTGTATTTATTATAAATAGCATTGAAAAAAGCTTTTTCACAAAAACATGGCTTCAGTTATTCGAGTTAAACGCAAGCGTGGAGAAGAAAAGTTAGACGCTTTAAAAATTCTGTGTAAAAAACGAAGAACAAACGGTGAAGAAGCAGCTGCGTTGGAAACTGAAACTGCAATATTCACCTTTGCTGGCACTGTAGAAGATAAACATGTAAGAATATTGTATATTATCTATTTAATTTCCATTTAAGACAATATTTAAAATAACTCTAACTAATACTATTAATATTTTAGGATGACGTTGTAGTTAATAGAATTCAATCTACAAAGGAAGAATTGCAATCACAGTATAAAAAACACACCGTTGATATTGTCAAGAAAGTTAAAGAACAAACGAAACAAAAATCATGCCAAAATCGGTATAAAGTAGTCAATAGTCTGCGACAGTTAGATAAAACAGGAGATGAAGAATCAGAATTTAACATTGTAGACATGGAAGATGTCAACGCACATTCTGATGATTCAAATGTGAATTATGAATATGATTTGTATTATATTAATAATGCTGATTTAGTAATAGATGATAGCACAACAGTTTTAGAAGAAGTGACCTATAATTATGAAGAAACTTATAGAAATGAAGAAAATGACTATGACTCTGATGATTCTAATTCTGAAACAAATGCTAAAAATGATTATGGAGACTCGGATAATGCTGTTAACGATTCTGATGAAGAAGAAGGATTGGAAAAAATAATCAAGTCTTTGCACATCAAGAGTAATAGTGATTCATCATCTTCTGATGAAGATTTAATTTATGGATTGGACGATTATTCAGATAAATATGCAAAATATGGTTGTTCTGGTGTTAAATCTAAAAAAAAGTCCATTAAAATTTCTAGTGATAACAGTGATTCAACTGACGATAGTGAAGAAGAATTAAGTGACTTTGAATATTTTGATGACGATGATGATGATGATAAAGATGATTTACTTGATTATTATTGAGCAAAATTACCACGTTTTATGGTGTAGAGCTAGCATAAATCTAGTTAAGCTACATCAAAGTACAATATAACTGTGATAAGTGGTGTCTATTGATACATAGATAGCAATGTATATAGCTAAGTTACATTTAAAATGTAAATATTTTATAAAATACATACACTAAATAAATTTTAATAAATACCTTGGGTATTTTGGAACTCTACAATTCATCATTTTTTTATTTTCCTATAAATACAATTCTTTTTCCATTTAATTTTGCCACCTGGGCTCGAGATTGGCAGAGCTGTAATGGCTGATAAAACAAACACGGTGTCTGCATTAGTTATTTTATAATGACAATAGAAAAATTCTCAAAATTACTTGATTTAATAATTATTTCAAATTTTAAGTTAAGACCAAAAAAGTATAAGGGGTTCATTGAATTTTTCTTTCGAGTTTGTCAACAAATTATTGGTGTGGCAATATTTATTTGAAATAAATGCAAAAAAAAATATTCATTATATATTCGAAATTACATCTTTACAAGAGTTTAAATTTCGCGCTCACTGTGGGTGTTGTGCTGTGTTTGAGAGCACTGCGCCTGGCGTCAGTCGCCAGTCACCAGTTGCCACTTGCCAACTAGCAGCCGGCTCGTTGTCAGACGTCTCACTGGTCGCGGTCACTCGCGCCAGACGCCAGTACTCTGTAGCAGAAAGATTTCAGCTAAAACCACGTGCTCGTTAGAAATTACGTTTATTGATTGAATTGATCATAATATCCACATTCAGTGCAGTTTTAACCTAAAAGCCCACTCTGTATTCATTATAAATAGCATTGAAAAAAAGCTTTTTCACAATAAAATGGCTTCAGTTATTCGAGTTAAACGCAAGCGTGGAGAAGATAATTTAGACGCTTTGAAAATTCTGTGTAAAAAACGAAGAACAAACGGTGAAGAAGCAGCTGCGTTGGAAACTGAAACTGCAATATTCACCTTTGCTGGCACTGTAGAAGATAAACATGTAAGACTATTGTATAATATCTATTTAATTTCCATTTAAGGCAATATTTAAAATAACTCTAACTAATACTATTAATATTCTAGAACGAAGCTGTAGTTAATAGAATTCAATCTACAAAGGAAGAATTGCAATCCCAGTATAAGAAACACACCGTTGATATTGTCAAGAAAGTTAAAGAACAAACGAAACAAAAATCATGCCAAAATCGGTATAAAGTAGTCAATAGTCTGCGACAGTTAGATAAAACAGGAGATGAAGAATCAGAATTTAACATTGTAGACATAGAAGATGTCAACGCATATTCTGATGATTCAAATGTAAATTATGAATATGATTTGTATTATACTAATGATGCTGATTTAGTAATGGATGATGCTACAATAGTTTTACAAGAAATACTATTTGATTACGGAGAGATTAATTCTGATCAAGAATTTGTTTATGATGATGATGATAATTCTAATTCTGAATCAAATTGGAAAAATGATTATGGAGAAAACCCAGATGGAGAATCAGATGGAGAATTAGATGGAATATCAGATAAAGAATCATATGTTGATAATTCTGAGGAAGAGGAAGGATTGGAAAAAATGGTTGACTGTATGAAAATCCACGATGATAGTAGTTCGTCATGGTCTGATAACGATTCCATTTATGGAACGGATGATGAAGATGATGGCGGTCTTTTTGCCCAATTTAAAAAAAAATATTGTAGAAGCAGCAGTTACTGCAGCGATTCTAGTAGTAACAGTGAAAAAGAATCAAGTGACTGTGACGGTGATGATGATGATGATCATCATTATTATGATAACAATGATTACGATTATGATAATGATGATGAAAATGAAAATGATGATAATAATTAAAATGATCATTGAATGCATGTAAAAATTAAACTAGTGATAATAACAGCGATGATTATTTTCATTGTACAAAAACAGAGCATATGCCTAGTTATGCTACATCAAAGTACAATATAACTGTGATAAGTGCTATCTAGTGATACATAGGTAGCAATGTATAGAACAAATTTACCTTTAAAAGAAAACAATAAATATAATTTTATACATACTTTGCACATTTTTATTAAATTATACAACCCATTAAATATTTTCAATTTTATAATCAAAAAGTACATATTATTATTTTTAAAAGGAAAGGAAAATGATGATTGACATTAAAAAACTATTTATATTATTTAAATCTTGGTTAAAGATATGATTGGTGTACATTTATAGTATAAGTACTAGTAGCATAGAGTAATTGAGAAAAAAATAAAATTTTCATTTTTGATAGTAATTGGAAATTATAATGATTGCAAGAGAATCTAAAAAGTTTAAACTTGAAGTTTTTACTGTATTCTCTCTACTCATCTAAATCTAAATTCTTTCTAATAAACTATGACGATAAAGTTAAAAACAAAGTATGCTTTTTAACTTTACTTGGTGAAATTTACATTGCAGAACTACAATAATAGTTGTAATTGTTTCAAGAATTTGGGCATTAAAAAAAAAATGTTTGTTGTTAGATTATGGATGTATACAATATGTTATGTCCTCTATGAACATCTAATTCCTCGTGATGTACCGAGCCAGTAAAATAGTCATTTTTCTTTTAATCTTTGAAAATCCCAAAATTGACACTAAGTTTTTTATTGAAAATTAGTCCGGAATAACATAAAAAAGCAATAAAATCCAACAATATCTTTGTGACTTTGTTGCAGGCAGGTCAAAGATATCTCAGGTATTACCTCAAAAGGAAAAATGCGTAAAGAAAATGGATGGTGGCCGAAAGAGCGCAAATTTTTTTCATATAGCAACTAAATTTTAAAAAAATTCATTAATTAGTGTTATCTAATTAATATAATATCCAAGCACAATTCAATACAATGTGGCATTTACTTCGACTTTGCTGTCGACTCTTGTTCGGATTTGAAGGCTCCGAATCTATAATGTTTTATAAATGACAAACTCATGTCATGCTTATTCGTGCATTTGAATTATATTATTACATCGTGATCTTTGGAGACGTTTAAGAGTATATGAACGAATCAGACGGGTAAACTGCTGCTTTTAAACTACCTCAAACATTTTTACAATCGAGAGATTAAATTATTCGATAACACTATTCAATAAATTTTATTAAAATTCTTTTGCGATATGAAGGAAATTCAATTATTCAAATCAAATAATTATTTTATGAAAGCAACACTTCCATTTTATAAGAGTAAATAAATATTTCATTGATTTTATGCAATTGATTGTAGACATTAAATATTATATTTCATTGAAATTTTGAAATAGAATCATTTACGGGAGAAAATATTTGTTTAATCCAATAATTTATTTCATAATTTCAATGTTATCCATGTTGTTCATTTAATAATATCATTTAACAGAAATTATCAAATATTTTGTTGCACCAATGAAATAATTTTCATTTTGTAGTTCAACCCAAGTTTCTAGAAGGCGCATATCAAAACTCCTAAGTAACTAAGTGAATTTTTGATTGATATATACTAAACCTTTTAACACTCACCTCCAATGTGATTAATAGTTGTTAAGTGGGTGCGTTCCTAGGTAGGCTAATCGTTAGGCAAAACTTTGAGGATAGCTGGATAAGATTTGCGTCCAATAAATATATGTAATTGTTCGATCGTCTCTATCTAGCGCCTCAAAAATTATGTGTTTTTTTTCGCGGAAGGAAGTGAATAATGCACTCAAGTTTTTTAGTACTTATAAAGTATGTATTTAACTATATTGACAAATTTTTTCCGACCAAAAAAATCGAATTATTTATCCCCTAGCAGCGTTTGCTGGAGGTCGTGTTAAAAAAGATACCTCAACGGGCGGCAAGCTAGCGCCTTCAATTTTTGCCCGAAACCAAAAATTCGAGGTTCCTCTTAAACTAGATGCCATTTGCTGGAGGTTGAATCTGAATAATTGCAAAAAATTAAAAATTGATAAAATGGCGGAGATCTTACTCTACGACGAACTACTCTTTGGTGTCGCCATGTGTTATACTGATGCACTCAGATGAATTAGGAGCACGATCAAAAAAATTTCGAGCTTATGGGCCGCTATATGCGCGATCGCTACATTTGATTGCGTTACAGCAGTGAAAGTAGCTTGACTGGGGAAAAAATATCATAAAATTTAACGATATTCTATTGATTCAATAAAACAATTTGATTAAATGCGCTATGTGTAATAGTTTTATTGAATTTATTATAAGACTAAATTAAATGTATATTATTTTTTGCTGATTCCATGAATCGTTTCAGTTATGATAAACAAATATTAGATCGAATAAATGAAAGTAGTTGATCATGTCAAAAGAAGCTCAGTAAAATTTATTAAATATTTGATTGAATCTATACAAATATTTAGAAACGGTTATGAACTCTTGTGAATAAAATTTGTTACTATTAGCAGTTTCATTAATTAATTAGATTAATTATATTTTATTAGCTGATATTCAATACAATTAATTTGAAAATTATTTATCTTTTAAATATACTCGAGAGAGAAGTTGAATCATTTCTATATTATTTAACACTTTTTCATTTGAGTCATTTTGAGCATTTTTTGAGATCTTCATGTGCTATCTTTTGGTGTCTGAGCAAATTAATTTTTTGTCTGAATTTCTTCTCACATTTGTCATATGCATAATCCTTGAGACCTTCATGGACTGTCCTTTGACGTAAAAGCAAAGATTGTTTATACAGAAATTTCTTCTTTCACTTGTCACAAGCAAAATCTCTCCGACTTTTATGTACTGTCCTATGGTGTAAGAGCAAATGCGATTTTCTTGTAAATTTCTTCTCGCATTTGTCGCAAGCAAAATCTCTGCGACCTTCATGTACTGCCTTTTGGTATGAATGCAAATGAGATTTGTATCCAAATTTTCTCTCGCATTTGTCACATGCGAAATCTTTTTACCCTTCATGGACTGTTGTTTGATGTATGATCAAACTGCCTCGTTCCCCAAATACCTTTTCACACTTGTCACATTCGTAATTTTTACGACCTTCGTGTACTGCCCTGTGGTGGTAAAACAAACTGTGTTTTTGTGTAAATTTTTTCTCGCATTTGTCGCATACGTAATCTTTGCGACCACCGTGTACTGTTTTTTGGTGGACGAGTAAAATCGGTTTTTGTGTAAATTTCTTCTCGCATTTGTTGCATGCAAAATTTTTGCGACCTTCGTGTATTGTCTGTTGGTGGCAGAGTAAACCCGATTTTCGTGTAAATTTCTTCTCGCAATTGTCGCACGCGTAATCCTTACAACTTTCGTGCACCGTCTTTTGGTGCCTGATCAACTGCATTTTTTGTCCGAATTTTTTCTCGCAACTACCACATGTGTAATTTTTACTACCTTCGTGGACTGTCCTTTGGTGAACACGCAGATTCGATCTGTGTCCAAATTTCTGCTCACACTTGTTGCATGCGTAATCTTTTCTACCTTCATGGACTGTCGCTTGGTGGATAAGTAAAGACTTTTTCTGTCCAAATTTCTTTTCGCAATGGCCGCATGCATAATCTTTGCGACCCTCGTGGATTGTTTCTTGGTGTCTGAGTAAATGCTGTTTCTGTGCAAATTCTTTCTCACACTTGTCGCACCCGTAATCCTTACAACTTTCGTGTACCTTCATGCTACCTTCATGGACTGTCGCTTGGTGGATAAGTAATGACTTTTTCTGTCCAAATTTCTTTTCGCACTTATCACAAGTAAAATCTTTACGACCTTCATGGACTGCTCTTTGGTGTCTGATCAAATCCGATTTTTGTCCAAATTTTTTCTTGCATATTTCACAGGAGTAATCTTTACAACCATCATGGACTGTAGTTATATGCAAGAGTAAATATCGTTCACTTCCAAATTTTTTCCCACAAACGTTACATAAGTAATCTTTGAAGATTATGAATTTCTTGCAACCATCATGGACTCCCTTTACGTGGGTGAATAAACTCTGCTTACTTGCAAATCTCTTAGCACACTTTTCACACAAGTAATCTTTGAAAACTTCGTGGAATATTTTTTTGTGCCTGAGTAAAGTTGGTTTATTTTCAAATTTTCTATCGCACTTGATGCACATGAAATTTTCAAGATCTTTGTGGGCCAATTTTTGGTGCGTAAATAAACTCGATTTTTTCACAAATTTCTTCTCACATTGGTCGCATGCAAAATCTTTGTGGCTTTTGTGTTCTGATATTTGGTGCCTACTCAAATGACTTCGGAACTCGAATTTTTCTTCGCACTTGTCACATGCGTAATTTTTTTCGTCATTATGAATTGTGTCTCGGTGTGTAATCAAGCTTGATTCTAGTCTAAATGCCTCCTGACAAGTATCACAAATGTATTTTTTGTCGTCTGAAACAACAACGTCTTCTTGACTTAAATTGTTTTTCGAAACAACTTCCTCAGATTTCTTCTCACTTTTATCCATTTTTGGTGTTAAATTAAACGATAGATCGTCCATTTAGAGCCACAGACGTTGAAAGAGTATATTTATCTTTCGATTTTATGACTTGCTTCAATGGCAAAGGCAACAGTCAAACTTATTTGTTTTTACCTTGAAAACGAGTCTATAACACTCTATTATAACCCAATGTATCAAGGAAATAAGTCAAAATCATTTAAGATAATAATGTTTATATCAAGTTGACGATTTGCGATATTTGAACCAGTTTAAAAATATAATGACGACGATTTCTTCGAGGAAATTCTTTTGGTCCTCTTCAGACTATATACTTAAAAGTAAATAAATCCGTATATTTATGATGTATATAATTATGGCTTTTTTGAAAGATCCACGAAAAATAAATGAAATAGTAGGTCAAAATAATACTTTTTCTATAAAATCGTGCTACTGATAGACGCGCTTTTTATATGATTAATACATAGAAAAAAAGCCCAGAAGTCGTAATTATAAACATCTGTTTTGTTTCCATACCGATTCAGAAGCTATTTTAGACTCGAAAAATCAGAAGCGATTCGCAGACGTACTTTTCAAACCTTAATTTTTTACATTTCTGTAAGCTTCAAGTCTTCAGAACAAATAATTAAAAATTAAGAAAAATGTATTACCGGCTATCCGAACCTGACATCAAGTTTCGAAATTTTTTGGAACGTTAAAGCAAATATTTAAAAAATATCTCAAAAAGAAATCCTTTTGACAAGGTTTGGCAATACAAAAATTTTCAAAATTGGACAAAAAAAAAAAGCGTTACTCAAAAAATGTACCTTATTTGAAAAAAACGCGCGTGAATTCGATGAAACTTTAATACCGACTGGACGCCTGTTACCGCGTTGCGACGCCACTCATGCAATCGCATCATAAGTTTCTGTTCGAACTCCGGAGTATTAGTTCAAATCAGTTAATGCCGGTAGGCTCATTGTTGTTGATCTTCGTGGCAATCTTACAGTGAAAATACTCGATAAATATATATTTGGTGATTGTTTTGATTGTTGAACGTCAAAAGAAACATCGTTCAAGATGTATGACGATCAAGGTAATTATATGCACTCCATCAACAATGGCTATATTCTTAAAAAATTTATCGACTCAAAACATAACCTTTTTCGTTGTCAAGTTACGAGTACTAATGCTTCTTTTACATTTCCATTGATATTTTTATTGATAAACGACTAATACACGATGAATCCCTTTTATAATGTACTGGTACTGTTATGCATATAATGCAATTGTTGAACTAATGTTTACTTTGAATCAAATTTCTTCTGCAGACTTCTTATGGCATAGAAGTTGTATGTATGGTGAATGCCGACATTTTTGTGTATAAACTAGAATTATAATAGAGAAATTTTGAAACTAAGAGGAATTTTCTTTTCAAAAACAATGAGCTATGAATAGTACATTGGAAAAGTTTTTATTGATAACAATAAATTAAAGAAATTTATATTTTAATTTTATAGATCCCTATGACGATGATGAAGGGCAAGAAATATCTTCCAAGCTCTGGCAAGAAGCTTGTTGGATTGTCATCAATGCATATTTTGATGAAAAAGGTTTGGTGCGACAACAGCTTGACAGCTTTGATGAATTTATTGAGATGTCTGTTCAGAGAATCGTTGAAGATTCACCCGTCATCGAAATTGTTGCCGAAGTCCAACATACAACTGGCGAAATTGAGAAACCAATGAAGCATCTTGTAAAATTTGAACAAATTTATTTATCTAAACCTACACATTGGGAAAAAGATGGTGCTCCGTCGCCCATGATGCCTAATGAAGCAAGATTGAGAAATTTGACTTATGCTGCACCACTTTATGTTGATATTACAAAAACTGTAGAAAAACCAGATGAAGAATGCAGTAAGTATTAACAACACATAAAACCTATATTAAATTCTTACATCTCTCAATAACATCAATTATACTACTATTAAAATTGAATAGTCAATTTACATTTTTAAACTTTATATTAAAATTAATTATTCATAACTTATTTGATCTACATAAACTTTATTTTAATTTTACAGCATCGCAACATCAGAAGACATTCATTGGGAAAATTCCAATTATGTTGAGATCTAAATATTGTTTATTGGCTGGTTTGGCTGATCGTGATTTAACTGAATTAAACGAGTGTCCTTTGGATGCTGGTGGCTATTTCATCATCAATGGATCTGAAAAAGTACTGATAGCTCAAGAGAAAATGGCTACCAACACCGTTTATGTTTTTAGTATGAAAGATGGTAAATATGCCTACAAGTGTGAAATAAGATCTTGTTTAGAGCATAGTTCGAGGCCAACTTCGACATTATGGATCAACATGATGTCTAAAAGTGGAGCAGTGAGTACCATTTGTCCATGATTTTTTATTCAAATTGAAAGTGAAATTAGAATTCTCTAAATGAATTTCATTAATGTTTACAGAATCTTAAAAAATCAGCTATAGGCCAACGAATTGTAGCAGTTTTGCCATACATCAGACAGGAAATTCCTATCATCATTGTATTTCGAGCACTTGGATTTGTAGCTGATCGTGATATACTTGAGCATATCATTTATGATTTCGATGATCCTGAAATGATGGAAATGGTAAAACCATCTTTTGATGAGGCATTTGTGATACAAGAACAAAACGTTGCTGTCAGCTTTATAGGGGCCCGTGGTTCAAGGCCAGGTATCACAAAAGAAAAACTCATAAAGTATGGCAAAGAAATTTTGCAAAAAGAAATGTTACCTCATGTTGGTATAAGTGACTTTTGTGAAACAAAGAAAGCTTACTTTCTTGGATATATGTTTCATCGATTGCTTTCTGCTTCTCTTGGCCGTCGTGAGCTCGACGATCGAGATCATTATGGTAACAAACGTCTAGATTTGGCTGGTCCATTGCTAGCATTCTTATTCCGAGGTTTGTTCAAAAATCTCATGAAAGAAGTTAAAATGTATGGTCAAAAGTTCGTGGACAGAGGAAAAGATTTTAATTTAGAACTTGCCGTAAAGACCAAAATCATTACAGATGGTTTGAGATATTCTTTAGCTACTGGTAATTGGGGTGACCAGAAGAAAGCCCATTTGGCAAGAGCCGGAGTATCTCAGGTATTGAACAGGCTCACTTTTGCTTCAACACTCTCTCATTTGAGAAGAGTAAACTCTCCAATTGGCAGAGATGGTAAATTAGCCAAGCCTCGTCAATTACATAATACTCTGTGGGGAATGTTGTGTCCAGCTGAGACCCCTGAGGGAGCTGCTGTTGGTCTGGTAAAAAATTTAGCTCTTATGGCATACATCAGTGTTGGATCCCAAGCATCACCTATTCTTGAGTTTTTGGAAGAATGGTCCATGGAAAACTTGGAAGAAATTGCTCCAAGCGCAATTAATGAGTCTACGAAGATATTTGTCAATGGTTGCTGGGTAGGCATTCACAGAGATCCAGAGCAACTCATGAAAACTCTTAGAAAATTGAGAAGGCAGATGGACATCATTGTGTCAGAAGTATCAATGATCAGAGATATTCGTGATCGTGAGATCAGAATTTATACCGATGCTGGCAGAATCAGTAGACCTTTACTGATTGTTGAAAACCAACAACTTTTGTTGAAAAAATCTCACATTGACATGTTGAAAGAAAGAGATTATAACAACGATGGATGGCAAGAATTAGTTATGAGTGGAGTAGTGGAGTACATCGATACTCTAGAGGAAGAAACAGTAATGATTTCCATGTCACCAGATGATCTGAAACAAGGCAAGGAGTACGCTTACTGTACAACTTATACACATTGTGAAATTCATCCTGCCATGATTTTGGGTGTTTGTGCCTCAATCATTCCATTCCCTGATCACAATCAAAGTCCCAGAAACACCTATCAAAGTGCTATGGGTAAACAAGCTATGGGAGTTTACATTACCAACTTCCATGTTCGTATGGACACTCTAGCTCACGTCCTTTATTATCCTCACAAACCTCTTGTCACTACCAGATCGATGGAATACTTGAGATTCAGAGAATTGCCAGCAGGCATCAACAGTATTGTAGCTATCTTGTGTTACACCGGTTACAACCAAGAAGACAGTGTCATCCTTAATGCAAGTGCAGTCGAAAGAGGATTCTTTAGATCTGTATTTTACAGATCTTACAAAGATGCCGAAGCGAAAAAGTTCGGCGACAGCGAAGAACAGTTTGAGAAGCCAAACCGCCAGACCTGCCAAGGTATGCGTAATGCCTTGTACGACAAATTGGACGATGACGGAATCATTTCACCAGGTATTCGTGTATCCGGTGACGATGTTATCATTGGAAAAACCATGACTCTTCCAGAAAACGACGACGAGGTTTGTATAAAAATCCAATTTTCTACATCTTCGATTATTTTAGTTCTTATGTTTTAATAATTCATTGTTTAACTTTGCAGTTGAATAGCACAACAAAACAATTCACAAAGAGAGATGCCTCGACATTTTTACGTAACAGTGAAACTGGAATCGTCGATCAAGTTATGCTGACCTTGAACAGCGAAGGCTACAAATTCTGCAAAATTCGAGTCCGCAGTGTACGTATCCCTCAAATCGGCGACAAATTTGCATCTCGTCACGGTCAGAAAGGTACCTGCGGAATCCAGTACCGTCAAGAGGACATGCCCTTCTCGTGCGAGGGCATCACACCCGACATCATCATTAATCCTCACGCCATCCCATCGCGTATGACGATCGGTCACTTGATCGAGTGCATTCAGGGCAAAGTTTCGTCGAACAAGGGAGAAATCGGCGACGCTACGCCCTTCAACGACGCCGTCAATGTACAAAAGATTTCAAGTCTCCTCGTGGATTACGGCTATCAACTTCGAGGCAACGAAGTCATGTACAATGGCCACACCGGCCGCAAGATCAATGCCCAAGTTTTCTTGGGTCCGACCTACTATCAGCGTCTCAAACATATGGTGGACGACAAAATCCACAGCAGAGCCAGAGGACCTGTACAGATTCTGGTCCGACAGCCCATGGAGGGTAGGGCCAGAGATGGAGGCCTGCGTTTCGGCGAGATGGAGCGCGATTGTCAAATCAGTCACGGAGCAGCTCAATTTCTGCGTGAACGTCTCTTTGAAGTGTCGGACCCTTACCGCATTCACGTTTGCAACTTTTGCGGTCTGATTGCCATAGCCAATCTGAAAAACAACACCTTCGAATGCAAAGGCTGCAAGAATAAAACACAGATATCTCAAGTTCGATTGCCCTATGCGGCCAAGCTTTTGTTCCAGGAGCTTATGTCGATGAACATCGCTCCACGTCTTATGGTAGTCTCCTAAATCCATTTGCTTGTAAATATTACAGCAACTGTTAGTTCGTTTAATTTTGTAAATATATTTAAAAAAAGTACATTCAATATACATCAGTATTGTACATCAGATATACAATATTCGTTAATAAATAATTTTACTAATTTATTCATGCCTTAGTTGTTTCTTACTAAATAAGATTAAAAAATAATTATTTTATTAGTCAACTGATCACTATGAAAATTTTCACCAATCAAGTACTACTATGATAACTTAAAATCAATTCATATTCAGATGTATGTTCTTAAATTTTAACAATACATTTTATATTTCAATGTTCGACGATACCCGAAACATTTGAACTCGAATGGGAAGGTAACGTCATTGATTGATTCTTAATTTTCAATATTGATCGTTGTATACACGTTCAAAAGATTCCATTTCGAACGAGCTCGCGAAAGACAACGACTGACGAGCGCATCATGTGCTGCCCCCTACTGTAATCTGCAGTTACAATCACCGGTTACAACGGACCAAGTGTTCTCGGTAGATCGTATCAAGTTCAACGTCGAAATTCGTATTATCCACGTTTTTATTATATCATTCGATTATACTTATATTAATATCTCAATGAAATTGTGCATTTAAAGCATCGTGTCGATCACTAAGAGCATACATATATTTCGAGACTTATAGGTATCGACTCGAGTACATATTTTTGAATTTATTCTCATGAAATTTTATGTATCGTTGTAATTGCAAGTTTTGGTGGCGATTCAAAATCAAGATCTAAGTTGAATCGACGTTAAATAAAACCGATTGCATAATTCGTCATATATTTTTGCCCTTAACCTCGAACTGGCTATATAATCGCATAACGGTGATTTTGAATTCGAGGGTCGAAATCGAACATTCGTTTGTTTCAATATATAAGCGGCACATCTTTTGTACCAATTCGATCTCCAGCTATAAAAGTATTAATAATCGCGAGTGACAACTTTTTGAAAAAGCATCGGACGAAAAGTACATGAAATATACATTAACAATCATGCCAAAAGTCTCTGGTCAACCCCGTCGCGTCGCGTCGTCCTCGCGGGACTCGTCAGTCGCGCGAGACTCTCTTTATCGCAGTTATATAGGTATGCAAGCCCAAGTGCTATACATAAATGTGTGTGTGTGTGTATGTTGCGCTATATACCTATGCAGTATGCATGTGCCTTACACACACCTATATATATAATAAGAAAAATATATATATCGGCGAATGCTCGCGGCATTGGCCAATGCGAGTCGCGCTTGGGAAGGCTAAGCCGGAGTCACGTGACTCGTCGTCGCCAGCGCGCACAGGCACAGCCGCGGAGGCGTATCCCAGTTGGCGCGCTAACGTCGCCGATTGCACTGGCTGATAGGGCGACGACGACGACGACGACGACGACGAGCAGAGCAGAGCAGAGCACACTGCACACTGCACACAGTGTAGCAGTACACCGAGAGAGCTCTCTTCGCACGCCGTATATGCCCAGCAGTGGTGGGGGTATACATATAATACATACCGAGGCGCGCGCTTTTGCACGTCGCGCGAGCTGAGAGAGAATTCGCGCAGACACGGCTGACGTTTCAGTTGCCCCGCGACCGGCGGCCGAAGCATTCCAGCTCCCGAACCTTGCTCGGTTTTTTTTCTCTCGCTCTTGCTCTCGCTCGCCGTTGCGAAACTCGCCGCTCTGCCGAATCCGATGTGTGCTTTATCGTGTCGTACAGAGGGAGATATATGCAGTTTGTTGCTCTTCTCATTGTTGTTGTTGTTGCGCGAGAGAGAAGAGTTCAAGGACTTATTTCGTGCAATAATATATTGGCAATACTTATGCACACGGTGCATGCGTGTGCGCGCGAGTAAATGTGTGTAATTGTGCTTGTGCTCCTGCGATACTCAACACGTTGATGAAACTTTTTGTTTCTGCATAAATACAAAAACCAAGATCGAACGATGATGATGATGATGATGCAGGTTCGATCGTAAAAGTGCGCGCTATTCTCGAGTAAAAATCGTTTTAACCCGCGGTTCGCAATTCCGCTGTGTCTAGCTCGCCAAAACTTGGTGTCTGTGTATGAAAAAAAAATAGCCAAATAGAGAATTTGCTATCGATCGATCGTTGAATTTTGACGAGTGTGCCCAGAATCTCACAAGAAGAAAATCGTCGTTTTCAGCCGAGTGCCATCGGCCGCGTGACATCTTCTCTATAACTACTGCCTGTGACCCTGCCCGTTATTCCTTTTTTTTCTTTCCTATAAGTTTATCAATTTTGTGTTTGTTCGTTTGCCGAAATTTTGCGTGTCATCGATCGCTCAAAGGTGTGTACAATGATGATGGCCCTGTGCTGGTGATGGCCGTGCCATTATTGTACGCAGAGTGCAGCAGCAGCAGCAGCAGCCGAGGATGTCGCGACGAAAACAAAGCAACCCCAAGCCGCTAAAACGTGAGTATACACAAACTTATGTGCTATATCTATATCGACGATTCGAATCCAAGTTCAATTCGATGATATAATAGTTTTGACAGTTCGAAGTTTCTGTATCTATAACGGTGCCGAGGAACGAGACGCATCGTGTGCCGCTGCGGCGGCCGCTCGTCAGCTGATTTTAATTCGCCGCGTATAGTGCAGTATATAGTTTTGCGTAGTAGTAGTAGTAGTAGACAGTAGAAGCAGTGGTTAGCGGCTCGCAGTCGCGGGTCGGTTGACGCATCACGTGGCCTCGTTTCTTGCTATATAACGCATAGTGTCTCGCACCCACGCGTTCCGTGTGTATATATAGCTGCACAGTGGAGCCGTCGCGCTGCATATATGTAAATACATCCTGCCACTCGCACTTTTGCCCGCGATCCAATTTTGTTCTCTTTTTGCCTATATAATATATATATGAAATCAGTTTTATCGACTGGTTCAACGTGTGAGTGTCTGCGTATGTGTGTGTGTGTGTATGCGAGTAGGATAACACGATCCCTTCGCTCGACTTATATATCGCCAATCTCCCGATAAAAAGCTGTCTCTGCCATTCGTCTTTCTCTCTTTCTCTTTCTCTCTCTCTATATATATAAACGCGTATATTTCAACGTTTTCCAATTTGAAATTTCGAATCGCTCGCTCGCGCTCACCGCCGCCGTCGTCGGGGTACAAAAAAAGTTGCATATCTCATACATAAGCGATTAATCGAACTCGCTGCGTGCGTATGTGTGTGTGTTTAATATAATATTTCGAAAGCCGCCGCTCGTGCAAGATTATTATATAGCGTATTGATTCTCGCGGATCTCTCTCTCTCTGTCTGCCTACACGAGATTCGCAAGAAAGAGAGAGAAAAAAGATAGATACATGAATGACATGGATGTATATCTCGGGGGAGAGCACTCTTTATAATCTAATCGATTGATGGACTTTTCGGGTTAATTCAAATGAGCAGCAATAGCAGCAGCCCATATAATATGTATTTATATATATGCCGGGGCTTCTGCTGTTGCTTGCTTGCTTTTTTGTTGTTCCTCGTGCCAATAATACGATATATAGACCGGTTTGGCGAAATGTTTAACATTATTATATATTATGTGCATAGTGTGCCTTCGCGCCTCGTCGGTCAGCTGAAATCTGTTACAATAATGCTTCATTCTCTCCTTCTCTCTCTTATCCTCCCTGCTTATAGAAATATATAGCACTTTTTTAGCGCGATAGTAGTATGCATTATATTAATATACAGCTGCTGCAGCGCGAATGATGTAACACACTGCCACACTGTCGTCTCGCGAAGCTATAAATGCATGCATTCATACAACGCGTGGCATGCATCGTCGTAAGTGTATTGGCAGCAGTAAAAAAAAACTACAGCCGTCGAGTCCGCATTAGCGTATCGCTCGATCTTCCTCGATGCATCGATACGGTCGTCGTTTCATTTTTTTTCTCTTTTTTTTTTTTTTTGACGTCGACGCTGCGTTGCCATATTTTTTATTTTTGTGCGCGCGCGCGCGCTTGTTTATTGATAAGAACGAAAATGCCTGTCCCGCACACACGCACGCACGCACGCACACACAAATTGCGATAGAGAATTAATTTCAAAACTTCATAAGCACACATTTCTGTTTCGTTGCTGCAGCTCGAATTTCTCTGTTATGTACTTATGATATTGTACATTTACGCGCGTGTGCTCGACACCTATATATCGAGAGCTTTCGACCGGCACGTATATCGATATACACAAACGATGCGCTTGGACGGCTGCAGCAGCAGCAACGCGCGATACATACGTATTTAAGTGACGCGCGCACGCATTAACGCGTATATATACATTATACACCCGAGACAATCGCGAGCCAAGGCAGAGAGTGTGCAGTATCGTTACGAAGTGACAGAGAGCGAGGTAGCAATAGTTGCATACGATACTGGAGTAAGTATCATATAAGTATATTTGCTCCTCGCACAAGCAGACAGATATACACACACACACACACACACACATAGGAGGTAAAAGCACTAATTATATATGCTCGCGCGGCTTATCGCATTACCCTTCATTTCTTGGAACTTCCTTATTTCGCTGTATACACGTGTATACTACCACACGTATACAGACACGTACACACACACACACACATATTAAAGTCAAAGCTGCTCGCAATCGCAAGTTGCGAACGTGTATGTGTGTGAGCGTGTGTGCGTTGCGAGCAGCTCAAAGCCTGCACAGCCTTTTGCTTCAGATAAGCAGATAAAGTTCTTCTTTTTTTTTTACCAAGCCAGACTAATTAGTGTCAAAAATATAACTTCTCTCTGGTGGAGCTCTCTAGCTGCTCTGAAGCTGCTTTCTGCTGCTGCTGCTGCAACCTTATCGCCGTCGTACACACACGCTCGCTCGCTCGCATCTCTTTCTCGCTCGAGCATCGGCCAAATCTGTTATTTACGAGTCGAGAGCATGGCGCAATGTTTTATTGAACCGAACTATCGTTCAAACTTTGCGCGTTGCAGTTACGAGAGTCAAGGAGTGTGTGTGTGTGTGTGTGTATGCAGCAATGCAAGTAGCATCATTTATACACTTAATGCACAATATGACGTTTTGCATGTGTACGCGCTGCATGATAAAAGTATTGGAAAAAATTAGGCGAGTCGATCGTGCCTCTTGTTCCTAAAATG